TTGTATTTTTAGTAGAGACAGGGTTTCACCATGTTGGCCAGGCTGGTCTTGAACTCCTGACCTCAGGTGATCTGCCCACCTCGGCCTCCCAAAGTACTGGGATTACAGGTGTGAGCCACCGCACTCAGCCTCATTTTGGTGATAATCTTAATTTTCTTTTTTCTTTTGAGATGGAGTTTCACTCTTGTTGCCCAGGCTGGAGTGCAATGGCACGATCTCAGCTCACCGCAACCTCTGCCTCTGGGTTCAAGCGATTCTCCTGCCTCAGCCTCCCAAGTAACTGGGATTATAGGCATCTGCCACCAAGCCCGGCTAATTTTGTACTTTTAATAGGGATGGGGTTTCTCCATGTTGGTTGGGCTCATCTCGAACTCCCAACCTCAGGTGATCTGCCCACCTCAGCCTCCCAAAGTGCTGGGATTACAGACATGAGCCACTGCGCCCGGCCTGATAATCTCAGTTTTCAAGAATTCTTGTTTGTTCTCTGGTGGTTCTTTTTTAAAAACTGAGGTACAGTTTACACTAGGTGGCACAAATCTTAAGTGTATAGCTTAATGAGTTTTGATAAATACATACACAAGCACAATCACCACCCAGATCAAAATGCAGGACATTCCCATCTACCCAAAAGGTTCCCCTGTGTCAAGTGGTCAAGCAGTCCCTAAGCACAGCATAGTGGTTGTCAGACTGTCGTCCAGCTTTGCCTATGTGGCCCATGTAGAGACATACATGGTTGTAAGGGCACCATGGTAAACCTTTTCCCCTACATCTTCTCACACCTTTCCATCAGTACCCTCCAGACATAAGCACTGCTTTGACTTCTCTGTAACTTAGTTTTGCCTGTTCTTGAACTTCATAAAATAGAATAATAAGTATTTCCTTCATGTATGGCTTCTTTACTCAGTATGTCTTTTTTTTTTTTTTTTTTTTTGAGATAGTCTTGCTGTCACCCAAGCTGGAGCGCAGTGGTACGATCTCAGCTTACTGCAACCTCTGCCTCCTGGGTTCAAGTGATTCTCATGCCTTGGCCTCCTGAGTAGCTGGGATTACAGGCACGTGCCACTACACCCATTAATTTTTGTATTTTTATTAGAGACAGGGTTTCACCATGTTGGCCAGGCTGGTCTCGAACTCCTGGCATCAAGTGATTTACCCACCTTGGCCTCCCAAAGTGCTGGGGTTATAGGCATGAGCCACTGTGCCCAGCCACATGTCTTTGACATTCATCAATGTTGGTGCATATATTAATGTTTTGTTTTGTTTTTATTGCTGTATATATGTTTGTGTCATTTTCTACTTGTTCTGGACCTAAGTTTTCTCTCCACTTCTTCTGTAACTTGAATTACTCATATGGTCCCATGTTTCTTAGCTTCCATTCTTTTTTCCTCTCTGTACTTCAGTTTAGGTACCTCCTATTAACCTATCAAGTTCACTAATTCTGTTTTCTGATATGACTAATTTCTAACTGCGATTGTGATTTTATCCTTTACTTCTATCAATGTTTATGAAATCCATCCAATGAGTTTGTAATTTCAGAGGTATTTTTCAGTTCAATAGGCTCTTTTCATTCTCTTTTAATAGATTCCAATTCTGTTGACATTCTGTACATTCGTTTCTTTTTGTCCATCTTCTTCTCTATTTGACATATTAACCATAGTTATTTAAAAATCTTTGCCAGTTCCAATGTCTGGATCATCTGTGGGTCTGGTTTTATTGTTTAT